AAAAAAAAAAAAAAAAAAAAACATCCTGTGAGAGGCCACAGCACCGGAGTATTTTAACGACAATAATACGCATCGAACTTTCCCATCTATATGTACTGGGCACACTGTTCACGAAAGATGAAAAAAAAAAAAAAAAAAAAACATCCTGTGAGAGGCCACAGCACCGGAGTATTTTAACGATCCCCTGTCCAAATATTTGAAAACTACGGCCGCTTGTTTTTTCAAATCAATGTCCGACCCCAAAAAGCTCCCCACCGCGTCCTATTGCCACTTTTGCATCGAAAAAAGTCTAGCGTGAATTTGCACGGCAGTATATATATATAACCATGGTAATACTGCAGCGCCGCAGACCATATTTATATGCAAGGAAGGAAAAAAGGGAGGGAAAAAATACCGAAAAATCCCACCTCGGCTAGAGCACATGGCGATGGCAAAATGCTCCCCCTGAATATTCATCGCGTCGTTATCATCTTTGCCTCTCATCACCTACAAGAAAAAGAAAAAGAAGAAGAAGAAGAAGAAGAGAAATACAAAAGGTTGTCCCTAATTCGATCAAAATCAGCCGCAACGAAGGCCATGGCTCGTACAATGTACACATACCTCGGCTGCAGTCAAACAGATGCAGCCGGACGGTGGTGCTGACACTGAACGCTGATGGTACACGGCGCACAGTGCAGGAGAGAGGCAGAAGAGAAGCCGAAACTTTACGCCTACGTGATTAAACTAATTTATCGTTGCTAACTTTCGGCTTGGACATGCATACTGGCTGAGACTGTGCGAAATACGGTTAGCGCGATTCCACGGCCCTCCTCCCAAATGTACTGATATGTACGCCCTTTGAGCTACATGTTTATTTGCTGGATATTCGGAAACTTTAAACTTTTTTTTTTATGTAATACGGAGCTGCTGCAGTGGACACCTCGAGTTTTTTTTGTCCCGATGAATGGAACAACGAGCCTTGATGGCCGGTGATTGACCCGTACTGAATTGCTCCTGGAGAATTTCGTTGATTGAAAAACAGACATTTGATGAAAAATACGGAGCGTAGGATGCAAGGAGCATTTTTTTTTTTTTTTTTTTAATCAGAGCACCACTCGCACAACGGCCGCATAATTAAATCCATCGTTTTGTCCGCGAAATTTTGCACTATACGCTGTTGTATATAGAGCTCCCTTTGCAAGTAAATCTAAGTATCTGGTGTACAAGCGCAAGCTCTCGTTGCGATTATCGTTTATTCGGGGATCGTAAAAAGTTTTCTCAATGGCGACCCCCACCCCCCTTGGAGTCATTAAACAAAATTACAGCCAGCTCTAATTATATGAGCCACAAAGCCCCCCTGGTTATTACGCAATTTTCAAGCGGCGGAGGCACGGAAAATTAGAGGAAATATAAAAATGGCCCCCGAGCTTTGGTACGCGCGTGTAGTTTCAATTTTTTTCCTTTTTTTGGTTTTGCATTCCGTGCGAATTTCCCGCAGCAGCCCTCAAACGTATAGATGTTTGTTAATTCATCATTAGCGAGGCTCGTTTCGGTAGTTTGAAACTTTGCTGGACGCCAATGTAACGTATAAGCTCCTGGCTAATACTACGGGTGCCCTTTTATGTGCAAATACCTACTAATCATCAAAGTAAAGCTTAGCAGTAAAAATTTCATCAACGAGGCGGTGAGGGATCGAATGATGCTGGGCTACGTTACATGGAAACTCTCAGCTTTCGCATGTTTTACAGCGAGCCCTCGGGGGATGATTGTAATGCTCTTAGGGCTTCGTTCTAGTTCCGCATCAATGAGTAGAGTCAAAAGCCCTTACGTACAGTGCCATACTAAATCATATGGTTTATTCAGTCAACGAAGTGCACAACAGCACAAAAAGAAAACAATAATGAAAATTCTAGAGAAATTCCAGCGAAAATTACCAATTTTCTCAGGTAAATCGGATGCAAGCTGGCAAAGAAAGAAAAAAATTATTATTTTCAATAGCAAAGATTGTTGTTTTGACAGTAAAAATTATAGTTTTAATGGTAAACATTATGGTTGGATCATTAAACTTTTTTTTCCTTTTTTGCCAACTACGATTTATCTGAGCTACTATGGTAATTTTTGCTGGAACTTCTCTATAATTTTCATTACTTTTTACTCAATATATGATTTTATAGATATCTTTGATGCTGCGACATTCAAACACGTATACCTGTATGTGTATCTGCATGCGGTCAGTTCTCGCATCGATTGTTCGTTGAATAATTAATGCGGTAGTCGCGCTTCGATACTTGTATGTTATACGGGTACCGCGACTCGTTCACCTTTACCTCGTTCGATCGAGGGTCAACATGGAAATGTACACGTTAACATCCGAATAAGAGTCCATTGGTGTATAAATAACCGAATGAATTTGTGTAGGTGTCGGGTGAAAAAAAAAAAAAAAAAAAAAATAAATAAATAAAAGGAAAGAAATAAATAAACATATGCATATTTTTTTTGATCCGCGTATAGGATCGCAGGAGTGCTCGTTCGCGTGTATACGTATCCATNTAATTACAAACCAACAAAAAAAAAAAAAAAAAAACAGCTCAAACATGACATGAATTTGTATGCGATGTATGGAGGTACTCACGTGCTGCTCGGCAATATCCCTGGGGTCGCGGTGATCGGAGCCGTTGACCATAACGGAGGTGGAGGGCCCGCCGGCTCCGTTACCACCGGCCAGGGCTTTTGCGGCTAAGCTTCCGGCCGGCGTCTGCGGCAAGCTCTGCAAGCACAATGCGAGAATTCACGAGTCAGCTGCTGATTCGGCGTCACAACGTAATTTGTACGTTAGCTATACCAGCCGTCCATATTATATATATATGTATACATGTATATCTTATTGTTTTCTGCTCGACACGGTTGCACGCGAACAACGTTTGCAAAGTTCCTCCCACGAAAGTCGATGATTACCAAAGTTGCGATAACCGCGAATCGTGTAACAATAAGAACACGCAGGGGTTGGAGGGGATAAATTAACAAGTTCGATGTGACCTGCGCGTTATACAAGTCGGGGTTAAGAAACTATTGATGAAACAACTTTGTCGGGGTACGTTATACCGATCGGTGCGAGTTTTTTTTTCTTTTTTCTTTTGTATTTGATTATTGATAAACTTGGGCAAAACTGCACGTTGGAGAATTCCGGATGTACCATCTGTCGCGAGAGATACAAAAACACACACCGGCGAATAAGAAGACCCCGACGTTGTCTCTCGGTGTTTGTCTTGTAATTTAAAAACAGCGTGCCACTGAAGCGCGAAAAAAAAAAAAATGGTAGGTCGTAAAGCAAAAGGGGGTGCGTGGGGGAGGAAGGGATTAAATTGACGATAAATTGCTCGGGGGCGGGGCGCTTTCATCACTGCTCGTGCATGTATGTATTTATATACCTATAGGCGCTCGAAGGAAGGGAAAAAGCTAGGAGACAAAGAAGAAGAAAAAACGAAACAGCGACGTTCGGGGAGGAGAAAGGAAGCGAGAGAGAATAGAGGATGCTGGTTGGGTCCTGAAAGCATTTTTAATGGTCCCCAAGGGCGGAGATTGAGCGTCGTCGTCGCTCTCCTTTGTGACGACGACAACTCGCTTGTATATATATATA